CGCAACATGAAACATGGTACAGAGGATTGCTCTTTCACATTGAATGATTTGCTAGTTAGAGTCGCCTTGTCTCGACGAAAAACTCTTTCGAGCCCTTCAAGTCAGAGGGACCTAAACTATCAGTTTTCCTCATCTTTGCTTAAAAAGCTGGTGTGACTTACATATTTATTTAAAACGTGATTCTTCCAAATCATCTCTCAAGAGCCCAACAAGTATAAGCCAAGGGTCGGTCGGTCGAGACCACCATGCAGACGATAGTTCGATTTCAAAGTTTACAAAAAAGAACTAACTCTGATTATTAACTCGTTATTTAATAGATTTTGAATTCGAAGTAATTTAAAATTATTGTGTTCAAACTAATTTAACAAGGATGGATGCTCGCTGACCGTCGTTTATATCAGAACTAAACCTTTTCAAATTGCTACTATAGTATGAAGGCTGGAGCAAGTAATGCGGACCGCCCTAATTGGATTCAAAGGTGCACTTATGTAGGACCATTCCCGCTGCGGCACTTAAAATCGAGTTCAAAATATTGCCCATTGACATCGTACGTAAGGTTGCTGTCACACTTCCTCTAAATGTTTATCAGCTCATAGTTGCCTTATAAGCCCAAATACGAACTTCAATAACATCGAAAGATCAGGTATAGCCAACAGGGATTTCTTTAGAAATTGCGGGAATAAAAATAAACAACAACAGCCATTTAAATCAGAAACTATCCAAGGTAGTTTTTTAACTCTTCCGAACTCGGTAGTTGGCTCAAAATAACTAGTGGTCAGGGATGCACGTATATATACATTTAAATATAACGTTTCTTCTACTTTTTGTTCGCTGCACTATGTCCATGGCTTTGTAAAACTCATACAGCTCATCGTTCTATCGTCTAAAGCCCTCGCCATAGAAAACGTGGAAAGGCCCGAAAATCGTCCGAAAGATCTTTCTCTCGAATACCCCAAGAGCCGCCTCATCGGATATGGTCATTGAAGACATGATGAGTCACTTATAGAGAGGACTTCATTTCTAAATTGCCTACTCAAACCAAAGTAGTACTTGCTGGTAAGAGTGATTCTGATCTTAAGGAGATATTCTACGACCTGGTTCAGTCGAAAAACAAACTGGTAGTAAGCTAGCGCAAAAATATTAGATTTGACTTCCGGGTACATTCATATGCGCGTACAGAAACATACGAAAATACGAACCATTGTATTTACATAAGTTTAATGCGCGCCACTGACTGCAGTGATTGGGTCATTTATTGTTTGCTGCTGCAATTCACTGGCGGATTTGGGGTTTTGCTCAATCCAAAGCAGCTTTATTTCGCTCCTCGCACCCTCATGCAGTCACCCTTATCTATTTCACTCTCAACTCCTACTCTCGCTCCATCATTCTCCCCCTCATTGTCTCTCCTTGGTACAACACCCACTCTGGTGTACAATGCGCGCCAATGACGTTTTCAGTTTTCAATCTCCAATTGTAATTACCTTTTATGTTTGTATTGCATTGCGGCAGCATACTTACCTACATACATACATATGTACATGCGGAATACCCAACGTTGGTCTTTGATGTTTTTATCCAGTGGTTTTATTTATTTATTTATTTTACATTTACATACATTTTTCGTTCGTTCTTGTGGGCTGACATTTAATGCGCGAATTTATTTTTGTAATACATTTTTAATACAGCGTACATTAATTTGCCAGCTTCAACAATTAACGGAACCTCTGCAGTTGGAATGCATACATATGTATTACATACATACATATCTTCTGGCAGAATAGGTTAGTATGTTATACGGTTACCTATATAGTATTCTGTGGTTAAAACGCTTGCAGGAATTTATGTTCACCATGATATGCCACGAGGGCGCCAACGGGAAAATTACTGCGTTCAAAAATTGGATAGCGACTTATTAAAATAGGGTAAAGCCAACTAATACATAAATATAACTGATTGCCTCATCTGTCATCAACGTGGAAAGATACTGCAAAGTGATGCGAGGACTGAAAATTTGAGTTATATTGGCTGTGTCTAAGACAGAAAAATTGACAACGATTTGCCACTGACCCTTACCGTTGACGTCGACTGCTGTCGGTATCGCTGAACGATCGGCAGGGGCCCAGGTTTATCGCCCGATGGCTCGCGGCAGTGGAAAGACTGCTGGCGACCTCTGGTGGATAATTTGGGTAAAACCTCCTTTGAGAAGTTAAACCGCCTTTCGTCAACTGTAAGATATCCACTTATCGTAAAAACTGGCACCAAATTTTTTAGCACATATTCACTGGCTACAATTCTGCAATCACCGTAAAATTCGTACCTGTGACACGCAACAAACACCGGCCGTCAGCTAATTTCGCTCTCAAAGTAAAATGCATAGGAACGATACGCAACCTGACGCTGAAAGTTTTACCATCGCCTGCGAAGCGAAATCTGTTGACGTATTTGAGAGTTGAGAGCTGAAGCGCCCACAGAAAGCTCAACCGTGCTTGTAGTGCACGTAAAAGTAGAATAAGGTTCGAAACATCCTACAGGATGCTTATCAAACAATCAGCCAATTCAAAGGGCGGAAACGTCTGGTCAAGTTTGTCGATTAACCCGCAATCCGTATACCGTGCAGATGCTTTGAAAGACCCGAGAATATTCCAATTGTAACAAAGGCTCTCATCAGTACGCTCTAAGTTCGCTTAAAAGAATTTTTTTAAATTTGAAAGAAATTCTTCTACCGTGGCCAGGGACATTATTCGAAGAAGAAGTCTCCCTCCCACCAAAAATCCAACATTTGTGGCTCCACCAGAGTTGGTTAGCGCATCTCACTCATTAGCAAGAGTTTGAATTTATTATAATCCTAAAACTTTTTTAATTCATATCGCCGTTCTTGCTTTATTAGCTGTGCTCATGAAATGTGTTCTAATTTTGCAAATTAGCCACTGGCATCGAGAACTCTTGGACTAAAGTCGCGTCGTAGATGACTCGCTCTCATTTGAGGGTGAGCTAGACTGCGGTTGCTTTACTTGTGTGAAGATTTATTTGAGTGGCCTTCAGTTTAAGACTCTGGGTAATTCCCACGACTGGATATTGTTTCCAGGTCATCCTTCATTATGTCAGTTGGGATTCAGGAGGCATTCGGGACAATTTTAAGTCCCAAATTCTTATCAACCTCACCCACCTGGCGGATGTTTTCCTTCTTTTTGTCCAGTTGCGGTTTTATGAGGTGAAGATACACACTACCACTGTTTTGCGAAGCTTTCATGGAGATCAAGTATACGATGTTCTTTTTCCGCTGTTGATTTGGAGTATGCAATTTTGGCCACCCCAAAAATTCGCTGATTTTGCCACATTCCACACCCTCGAACCACTAGGTGTAGATCCGGATTTCGCCGTTGCAGAAGAAGATATACTTGGATTTTCAGCACTTTCGCTTTCGGTTTGAACGGAATGCGGTTGCGGTCAACTATCCGAAGGAGGCCCCCCGGAGGAGGTCCCAAACTGTTTTCACATATTCTTCATCCACAGTAGCGAATGGACGACTTTATATTTTGCTATATATTATTTTAATTAAAGATTTTTAAGGAAATTTAAACTAGACATATTTTTATCAAAATGGCTGAAACCTATTAAAATAATAAAGCTTTAGTAAAGTGGTATTACCAAATTTTGAAAAGATGCACCTATTAATATAATAATTAATATATATTAATTAGTAAGTACAAAATATTCAAAAGATGTATTAAATAAAAAGCATTTGATAATTTTCTTATCTACAAAATGTTTGGTTTAGGGTTGTCACCTATAGAAATATCTAGTTTTTAGTGAACTAGTCAGTATAAGGCATTGAAAATAATTCAAAACTTGAATTGAGTTGCCACCTATTGAAATAAGAATTAATATTTAGTAAGTTGTTAAAAAAAAAAATTAAAGATATAAGGAAACGCGCTTAAGAACTTTAAACCAACATACCTTTAATTTTACAATGAAAACATTTTCAAAAAATTTTAACTAGTCAAACTTCATTCAAAAGAGCTGCCATCTTTCAAAATAATTAAGGTTTAGTAAAATGGTAATACAACAATTTTTAAAGATGTAAAAAAGCGTTTATGCAAAGTATTTTTGTTTCCTTAATCCCTATCACAACATCAAATGCTTTCTTTGTAAAGTGGGCTGATTTTTTCAAAATAAGTTTTTTAAGATTTTTCACATTTGACACTACCTAAAGTAGGGAAGTACACACCAAAAAATTTTGGGCTGGGCCACTTCCTCTCTCATGGCCTCAAATATACACATTTGAATATTCTTTAGACAAATATTTAATTCATTTACCTTTGAAAAAAGCGCGCGATAAGTGGACTGGAGTTATAAGAAAATAAATTAAATTGTCATCGGAAAACCGATACCTTACCTACTTTCTAAATACCATCAAAAATATATCAACTAACACCCACATTCATAAAAAATAAATAATCCTTCATAAATCGAAAATTATTTTGAAAATCTCACTTCGTAAAGCTCTTTCGAGAGAACGAAAAATGACACTGAAGATGGCACAACGCCGAAACCGGTTTGTCTCCAAACCAAATTTGACAAGGGATGACGGAAAATCGTTCCACATTACATCACACTCCTACCCTGTCGGAAACACCAACAACGAAAATGAGACTCTTTAAACCTATTTAATTTTTTTAAGAGTGAGGCCACAAGGGTTTTGGGAAGGAGTAAGAACACAAAAAATTAATTGTGAGTAGGGTTGCCACCTGTATTAAATAATATTTAATACTAAGTAAATTGGTGCATGGTGTTGCCACCTCTAAACTACTTAATTGGAGCTTTTTGTAACCACTTTTTGGTTTGCAGTTCGCCACGCACTCAACACCGTACCTATACACCTTTTTTTTAGCCTCTATTGTTGGCTTCCCATAAAATATATATAATATATATAATTTGTTGCAAGCGCAACATGACTCGCGCGCCACTGCAGAGGAAAGCAAATAAAAGCAACAAAATAATATTTTACATTTATACAAATATTTTATTTCAATTTATTTCCTTTTCGTTACACAATGGCTGGACATTTTTCAACTGAATATACAATGCTATTATTTAATGTATGTACATGAACATGGTCATCATGTTTGTTTGTTTGTTTGCTTGTTTGTTTGTTTGAATGCGAGTTAATTATGCGCTTAGATTTTGTGTTGGTCTGCAGAAAACATTTTCGGGGTTTCATCCTTTTTGATTTTAATTGATGCATACATATGTACATACATATACGTTTATATACATATGTATGTTATAATTCATTTGTTTGATATTTTATTAAAATTTTTGGCACGAAATGCAATTTGGTATGTAGATGTATTCTATAATTTGGTTTTCAAAATTTTCCGGCTCCGTTCTGTATTTGCGCTGCTGAAATTTGTATGTATTTGAGTATTGATGGCAATGCCTTATAATTATGTTAGTTCGTAGATAGCGTTGAAATTTCTAAATTAATACAAATACGTATAAATATATTCAGTTACAAACATTTTGTTACAATTTTCTAAATGTAAACACACACATTTGCGTTGTACAAGCATATCATAAAATTTTATATATATATGGTATATATTCGAGTGGGGCTATGATTTTTTTTGGCACATAACAACAATTAGTGTTCAAAACAGTTGGACTGCACATCGCTAATAAGGAGTACGGCATACAAATATGTATTTACATTTACAATAATAGCTGTACTATATATGTACATACATATGTATATGTAAGTGTACTAAGTATAAATGGAGTTGAATGCTTCTCTATAATAAAATGCATTAAATCCTAAAGCCCTCTACATTTGGTTGTGTAAGTTTTATTATTGTTGCTGCGATTGTTGTTTTGTTTATTTACTCATAGCTAACATTTGAAATTCGCAATATATCAATTTCATTTTCAGTTTTATTTTATACGTGCAAACATAAATTTTTATCGCAATCTGAATAATTGAGTCAGTGTATTATCTAATTAAAATATATAATTTTTCAACACTTTTGGATTAGTTATTTAAATTTTATGTATGTATATGCTTCAACATTTTATTAAAATTTTATTTATTTTTCCGCATTGATGTAGCTGAATGGGAGATTGGTGTTCAAACGATCGTATTAATTTCTCTACAAATATTTATTTCACACCTAAATTTTTAACCAATTTACATATTTATCAACAATTAGCCATTTATTTCATATAAATGTAAACAAAAAACAAGTAAGAAAGGCTAAGTTCGGGCGGAGCCGAACATTAAATACCCGGCGCAAGTATTAGATATATGTTTTTTCACCCTTCCGAAACCTTCCGCTAGATGGTAAGCCGAGTTGTAACAATTTTGAGTAAATTAGCGTCCTTCAATTTCGAAATATTGAAGTTTCAAGCATTTCTTAAATTTACCGTTATATGAGAATCGGCCGTTATATTAGTCCGATTTCAATAATTTTCAACGTTTTGCTTACACGTGGCAAGTACAATAACCATACCGAGTTTGGTACAAATTGGTAGAACGGTTACCGGTATACTTATATGTGATCACAAGTGGGCGGTGCCACTCCCATTTTCCAAAATTTTACCATAAACGTATTTCTTGGTAAAGAATTGTTGCAAGCATCAATTTTGAAAAAATTAGCTTCAATATTTAATGATTTATCGAAGATTTTGTATTTCTCTAAATTACCGTTATATGGGATGTGGGCGTGGTTATTGTCCGATTTTAAAAAGTTTCGGCGGTTTTTTATGCTGTACCAAGGCCAACAACTGTGCCAAGTTTGGAAGAAATTGGTGCAGCGGTTACCAAGATATACACATGTAACCATAAGTGGGCGTGGCTACGCCCATTTTCCAAAACTTTATAATATTCTTATTTTTCGTCTAAAAATTATTGTAAATATCAATTTTGAGTGAATTATCTCCAGTAGTTACTAAAATATCGCAGTTTTCGTATTTCTGGAAATTACCGTTATATGGGAAGTGGGCGTGGTTAAAGTCCGATTTCGCCCATTTTCAATACCAACCTACCTTGGATTAAGGGAAACCTACATACCAAATTTCGTTGAGATATCTCAATTTTTGCTCGAGTTATCGTGTACACGGACAGACGGACAGACGGACAGACGGACAGACGGACAGACGGACAGACGGACGGACGGACGGACAGACAGACATGGCTTAATCGATTTCTTTTTTCATCCTGATCATTTATGTATACATTTGTCTATATCTATCTCGATTCGTTTTGGCTGTTACAAACAACCGTTATGTGAACAAAATTAATATACCCTTGTGCACAGTGCGCTCGGGTATAAAAATGTTGCACAGAATTTAACAGAAGAATGCTCTTTTCTATTGTACATAAATATTATGAAGTAAAATGATCGGAGCTCAAGGGGGTTTCCAGTTACAAGGAGGGGGTCTTTATTAGAGCAACAGAAGCTAAATGAAAAATTCTTAGAATTTTTGTCTGTCTATCTATCTGTATGTTTCTACACGCATCACTCGAAAACTAAAAAATAAAATCTAATTAAATTGTCAACGATGTAGTCTAAATTAAAATATGGAAGCGTTGCCAGCTGTTTGAAAATTGCAGTTTAGGTAAATTGATCAGACAAATTAAATATGACAATATGGCTGTTAAAAGAAAGAAGTTTAACAAGGTTCACAAACGAACAAATTTTTGCAGGAGGTTGCCATCTATTTTAAATTTGAATTTAATATAATTAATAATTAAATATTGCAATATGGATATCAAATTAAGGAGGTTTAGGAGACTTTACCGCCGAAAATATTTTTGAGGGGTTGCCACCTGTTTGAAAAATTTCATTTTTTAAATTGATAAAATAAATTAACATTATTTATATCTCCCTTCATAAAGCTCTTTAAGTCTATTCTATTTTTTATGAATGAGGCCATAAGAGTTTTGGGAGGGAGTAACAACACAAAAATACTTTTCTGGCGCAGTGTTGCACGCCGGGTATTTGCTAGTTCTATATATACTAAATGTGCATCTCTAAACACACTCGCCTAGCCATGTTTTTTGTGCATCAAAACTGCCGCGGACAACTTTACCCATCCTAATGTTGACCAACCCTTGCTTACTGAACTGTACTAAATCCTGCTCAAGGACATACATAAGTGAGCAATAAGTAAAACACCGTGTACCACAGTATTTGTTTCGCTGCGGAAGAGCTGGTTGGCTACTGAAACCAACGCAAAAACAACGGCATTCTAAATTAAAGACATAGAATCAACGCCCATTGTTAAGTATAGAAATAGTAAATCCATTATTATTTTTTATATGAATCGCAACATAACTGACCCATTTATGATTCACGGGATTACCAAAAGATAAGGATTTCCTGTAAAATAAATTCGCCTGTTCTAGTATTTTGCCATTAACCCTGTTTTGAAAGCCCCACAGAAATTTGGTGGGAAGACAACCATAAGTCTGTGAAACGTATCATGATTTGCTTGCCATAATTTTATGGTAATAAAAATTTTATGGAATTTTTTTCTTAGAAGATATCGAGCCCTAACCGCCAAAAAGACATAAACAACAGTTTTTTCAAAACTTTCCTTTTAATGCAGAAATGTTCTGCAGCATTTAGATGCATTTCTGCAACAAAAATAAAATTTAAAAAAAATTTCGCTTACGTCTTTTTGGCGGTTAGGGATCGATTCGGAAATAGAGAGCGAAAAGAGAGCGTCTCGCAGACATAGGTTATCAAAGCTGGGTAAGGAAAAGGCTTTTCCGCGAAATTTACCTGTAGTGAAATTACCTTCATAATGGTAAAAATCTATCGAACAAAGCGGCGTTTATTTTACGTAGATCAGGGCATCTTAACTTTGCTAAATAAAGTATTGAATTATAAGCAAACATTACGAATTTATTTTTATTGCACTGGTTTTTAAATAGATGTAGGCTGACCAATGTTGTCAGATTCACAGATTTAACTATGAATTACAGTTTTTTTTAGAAAAGGTTACAGTTTTTTAAATTTCCTCATAAAACAAATACCCGTTTTTTTTGGAATTTCAGTTTGGAATGAATAAATTAAAACTATTATTTCATTTGTGTTTACACTTTTGAAACAAATGGTTTCAGCTGTCTTTTGGATTCCAGTCACATGAGCAAATGTGGAAAGAATATTTTCCAAAATCAATTTGGATAAAGCAAAAATTTAAAATTCCAGTACTATCTGGTATTTTAAGATCTTAAATAAACAAAAAATTCTTGAGATTATACTAAATTTGAAGTAGCGAATCAAATGTATAAGCAAATTAACAAAGAAATTTATAAAAAATATGACCCTTAATTTCCTTAAAAACAAAATGTGATTCAAGTGCTGCAGTTATAAAGTCTGTTTTTGTTTAGTTAAGTGTAACTTAAATTGCGAATGTTATTTTATTCAAAGTTAATTGAATTATGTTAATTATATTTAGTAAAATTTAAATACATTTCGGTAGTTGGGTTAGCTTAAAAGCAAATACCACTTTTTTGTCGGCCGTAGATTTTATAACTCTAACGCTACAGTTTTTTGTTTGAAAATACAGTTTTTTTTGGAAATTTACAGTTTTTGAAAAAAATCTGGCAACACTGATTGTGACTCACAAAATAATAATGTTTTCAAATTCCATATCTTTTGGAACAAATTATTCAACCACTTATAAAAAATAAGTCCGCCATAGACGAAACTTTTTTTGGCATATTTGAAAACTAAAAGTTGTTATACTATATACATTAGGGTGATCCTTAAAAAATCAAATGAGCAATTTTTTCAGTCTCATCCCTTCAATCGGTAATACCACGGTCACAGATATCAGATACAAATTTTGGTCCCGATTGGAGACGGTTAAGGCAGGGGGCCAAAGTTCAGATTCCTCTATAGAGACTCAAAAAATTAAAATCAATTTTTTTGCCAACTCATACCCAAAATCGATACTGGCGTAGTCGAAGACATCACATATAAATTTTGGTCCCAGTTGGAGTCGGTTATGGCGTGCCGCAATGGGGTCAGAGCCAGACGCTCCATGGAGACTCAAAAAAATTAATAATATTTTTTTCATCGATCGATACTACTGAAGTCGAAGATATCACATACGGAGCCACACCTTAACCGCCTCCAATCGGGGCCAAATTTATATGTTATATCTTGGACTATAGTGAGATCGACGTAGGGGTTGAGGCTTAGGCAATCTGATGTAAAAATTTGCTTCCTTCATTTAAGGACCGCCCTAATATATATATGTATATCTTCATAAACGTCGACTTTTTTTTACGACTGGCATTAATAATGCAATTATTTTCACACGCATTTTTATTGAAATCAATTCCACATTTCAAATAAACATAAAAACTAAAAAAAAATATGAAAAACTATGTAATATTAAACTACATTGGTTATTTGAAATTTTGGTTTAATAACAATATAAATAGGTATCTGGTTAATTAATCTTGTTTTTGTTTCTATTTTCATTTCTTCTTATTTCACTTAAATTAAATTAAATATTTCAAACTCTTTAATCCTTAGCGCTAATCAATAATTTTTCACTATTATGAAACCCATGCCACCCTCTCTCTCAACCATCAACCATCCCCACCTCTTCTACGCTGCTTCTAGACTTTATCAGTAGATACCCCTACATACATACATACATATCTAAATAGTTGCAATTCCACCAGCTTGCGCACGCTTCACCAACGCACGCCTGCAGCGCGACGTAGCTTGTTATACTGGCAACTGGTTGGAGCCCGAATGACAATTCCTTGCACAACAACAACGCCACCAGCGATATGCACAACAATTGTGCGCCGCTCAAATGCGCCAAGCGCGTCGACGATGATGGCGGCTCATTGGAGATTGTACGAAATTTTTCGATTTTTGTCCAATCGCTGAAACCGGCGAGATTTTTAGTTGCAGCGCGCATGAAATAGGTGGTGTTGGCTTCCAAATTGTTGATGAGAAAAGTTGCGCCTGCAATGGAATAAACGAGAATAAGTATGTAAGTAGTGGAGTGAGCAGAGTAAGTGAAGTTCGCAATAATAGATATGCAGCTAAGCAGTAGGCAGGGATTTATTGCTAAGCGACTGTTGTAAAGCAAGACGCCCAACGCAATTCAGCGATAATTTCCGCAAAATGCTTAGCGCCTCAAAATTTTCACGCTTACACTTTATTAACATAAGGGAATTCGCCCACTAAGCACTAACAAAGCCTTTTGCTACAACTACTTTCTAAAGCAAAACCTTCAATCATTCATTTCCTTCTACACCCCATAGATGCCGGGCAACCGCATCCATTCTCCCTTCTCCCCCGCCCACTTCACCACTTGACTTACCATCTTCGAATGGAAAATCTCTGCGCTTAGCATTCGTCCATTTGCCTGCATCTGATTTGAATTCATATTCCGTCATATACTCAATACGAAATCCAATCACCTCCATCAATTTACGCACCGGTGAAGTGCGCACCGAACCCACATCCACATCGAACGTATTCGAATTGAAGCCGCGCAACTGCAACACCGTTGGTGGTGGTGGCTTCACACCGCGCTCCAATACGGTACTGCGTTCAATGGCACCCAGATTGTTCTCCGCTAGGCAGCGATACGTGTCGAATACGCTATCGTCGCGCGCTTGAATCGTCAAATTGGATGCATAATAATCCGTCTCGAAGCTGTAGTGTTTGTCGTTGCGCAAACGTTTCTTGTTGCTATTCTTGTACCAGGTAAAATTGGCTGGCGGCTCAGCGATGGCCTGACACGGTATGGACACGCTGCCATTGACGTACACATACTGCAGTGAAATATGATGGTTGTGCATCCAGAATGGCTTATCTGCAACAATGCCAAATAAGCAGGTGTGGTTATTGTATGTGTATGTGTGTGAGGACTACATCCCACTGGGAAAATAGGTAAGCACCTTACGAGGTAAGCCATGTTTTTTTTCAGTTTTTAGTACCAAAATTGTCATCATGGCCAATGTCAGCTACTAGTAAAGCACAAAATGAACACCTCCAACGACACATTACGTTGTCAGTTGCAAAGTAACGTGCAGCCGAAGTTATCTCCAAGCGCCGAACTACTCCGAGCGACTTCTCTGCATTACACGTAACTTACTTTGTAAAGCGGCTCAGAAGTATGTCTGATACCAAATGTACATTCTAAATTCCTACTTACATAAGGCGGCCATGCCTTTGTAAAAGTAAGGGACGTTCGGCAGGGAAATGGTAATGACTGCCAGGTGAAGAGTAAGTTGCTAATAAGGTATTATTACGTGCTCCTAATTCCTATTCATTTGTTCAGGTGTGTATGTGTATATATATTCAGGTGTGTATGTGTATATATATTAGTGGGCGTGTGTGTGTGTATTCCAATAGCGTATAAGTGATTGTTGGTTTTTGGTTGTTGAAGCTGATGAAATTTTAATAGCATGGAAATGGAAATGCAAATGGAAATCGGCGGCTACCGATTGCGTAGGAGAAAATGGCCGCGCGTAGGTGGATGACTGTAAAGCTGTAGGTGGCTGCAATGATTGCCTGGTGTATGGTGCACGATGACCCCGATTGGGGTAAAAGAGGTATAAATGCTGTGTCACGCACGCACGCTAAGTAATCAGAAATCAGCGGATGTGAGTGAAAGGTTATCGAGAAGAAACGGTGATTACTATTTCAATGAATCAAATTAGTTCCAGGCTCTCATAAGGAGGGGTCAAAAGGCTGTACTGTTATTAGTGAAAGGCAAAAAGTACAAATAGTATGATTTTGAAACTTACAATATGGGTCTAAACTCAGCACCCCAGACTCAGATATGATTCTACACCTTTTCTAACAGTATTTCAGAAAAGCATAACTGTATTCTAAAAATATTTTTCTGAAATACAGTTGCCCCTTCCTGAAACGCATTTGCGTTTTTCTGAAAATCATTTGGCTTTTTCTGAAATACATTTGGCCTTTTCTGAAATACATTTGTGGTTTTCTGAAATACATTTGCCCTTTTCTGAAATACGTTTGAGTTTTTCTGAAATTCATTTGGCTTTTTCTGAAATACATTTGCCCTTTTCTGAAATACATTTGAGGTTTTCTGAAATACATTTGTGTTTTTCTGATGTACTGTTGGAAAAGGTGTAGTCTTTCCGAAATTGTGTTAATAGTATAGCCAAACTGGCTCTATTTTCAGGTGTAGCTGGGAAAGGGTCCGTACAGGATAAAAAGGTACCATGCTAGTCAGAAAAATATTTGGTCAATGGCTTATTACCGCTTTCAAGACCTCATATTAACGGTTTTGTTTATTAAATGAAATTTTTTGGGCGTTCATTAGAACCAAATTTTTGACTTAAATTATTCGTTATACCAAAACTTTTCTCATCAGTTTCGAACAAGACACGACAAGAGAAATCGCTCGCAATAATATTACAGACTCCCTTTCCTGCCGTCGAGAATCCAGAGGGGCTACTCTGTAATGCGATGCGAAAGAGAGATGCGATGCGTTAGGCAAATAAGTCGTAAGTAATACGCTGTGGCGATTGCCTATCGCATCGCATTTCTCTTTCGCGTCGCATTACAGAGTAGCCCCCCAGGTGGTCTACTTGACGCTGCAGCATCCATAGCAGTAGATTGTTGCCTTGCAAGAGAACTGACGCCATCCAGCTACTATGGTACTTTCTGCATATATGTGGATGATATTTATGTTATAGCAAGCGGAAAGTGTTTGTCCATACGCAGGGATACACAACTTTGGGAGACTGAATTGAGCTTAGCATCAACTCGGAAAATACAGATCTGGCACTCTTCATCAAGCACAACAAGGTTATGAACTGGTCTAAGCCTAGTCTGAATGTGGTGACCCTCCAGTTGAAGCAAAATGCCAAATACCTCGGAAGAATACTCAATAGTAAGCGCCTTAATGTGAAGGAGAGGGCGAAGAAAGCTTCAGCGCCATCCTATGCATGCTGGGCTACGGACACAATAGTATGGCGTCAACTTTACTCGGACGGATTGACTACATGATCTAGTAAGTGTGTGCATTTTGGCACGAACTCCGAAGCCACTATAGGCCTGGAAGACTGGCGTGATGGCAGGAGGAGTTTAGTGTATATACAGACGGGTCGAGCATGCGGAAAGGTGAAGGAGCGGCAGTTGTTTACGCGAAGTTCAATCCAATAAGGTGCCCAATTACTGCAGCATTTCCTGGCGGAAGTATTGGCCATAACGAAGGCGGCGAAGGTATTTAGTAGCAAACTATTTAGTAAATAAACTGGTGCATCTCTATATCGACAGTCAGGCTGCAATAGGGGCACTACTTTCGCATAATACTTCCCCTAGAAATGTGGCGGAGTATAGGGCAGCTCTGGATTTGCTCCATACTGTTATTGACGAACATCTGTACTGGGAGGCCAAAGAAGGCGCTCTGTCGGAAATTATGCTGATAGAGAAGGTGCCAATTTCTATCCAAGCGATTATACCGGAGCTCGATCTCTTCATGGCCCGGAAAGCGTAGAAGGTGTGAACCAAAACGCAAGGTTGTAAGGTATTTAGCAACGTATGACACAAAACTCACTGGCATTGGTCGCCGCCAATGTAGGGCACAACAAGATGCTCCAGTTTGCAAAGAGGACTGCGATATTCACCAACATTGCTCCAGGTACTCAGTAGCTAGTTAGCTGACTAATGTTGGCGTAGTTTATCTGGTAACTTTATGGATCTCAATGGTCTCTGCGAAGCCACGCAGAGCACTGTGTGTCAGGAACCAGGACTGTTCAGGACTGTTTGTATAGTAAGGTCGATGATTACACTTCAGCCTCGCAAAGGCTGATTGTAGCTTGAAAGAAAATTTTAAGATTGAAGCTGCGATAGTGAAGGTATATGTATTATCGGAGAGCGTGTTTTCAAAAGATCTACCGGAATTGAATGTTGCGGCTTTGTGAGCCAGCCTAAGAAGTTCCCTTGACCACTTTCGGCCCACCATCGTTTTTTTTACGTTCAAAAGTATTTTTACATGAAGTTTCCTGCCCTTGGGCCTGACACCCATACATATGTATGCCCATTAGGATGGTCCAAAATAAGTAAAATCGGAATTTTAATTCTTACACGCCCTAGGATTATTCTATATGGAAAAAATTGAAATATTGAAATCAAAAAATATTTAGAGGTCGCTCAAGGCGCTCAAAGTATTCCATGTATTTTGTATGAGAAAAAACAACTTTTTGCAGAAATGGTATAGAATTCTTGAAAATCAATATTTTTCTTTCGGAAAAGTATGGTTCCCTTCAGGAGACTTTTAATAACAAGATCCAATTTTTTACTTAACCATTTTATAAAACTAAAGATTTTTTATTTATCCCCCCATTGCATTTTCTGGCATTTTCTGAGGGTCTTCGCGTACCTATAAAATATACCATGAAAAAATTTGGGTATTGGAATCTTCTGAAGAGAAAAAGATTTTTTCGATCGAAAAATATTAATTTTCAAGAAGTCCATGCCATTCAAGAATGCTATGCCACTTTTACGAAAAGTGGTTTTTTCCCATATAAATTACATGGGCAACTTTGAGCGCTTTGAGCGACTTTTGAATATTTTTTGATTTCAAAATAAAAAATAGGGGTATACTTTTTCGGTATAGAACAATCCTACGGGGTGAGAACATAAAAATTTCGACTTTGCTCTTTCACATGCATTTTTGGACCACCCTGAGGTACATGCAAATGTAACTAGAAAACTAGCAGAATTAAATGAAAGAGAGGTCCGCACCTATTGAACTTTATTGCATTCGGTGAACAAAAAAAAGGTCGACTTAAATTAAATTTCGTTAATGTTCGAGTTGATTTTATTATTTTCTTATTCTAATCTTTTATTTTATTTCTCAACACTTGCGTGCAATATTCCATAGCCACTACAAGTGCATGCATTATTTTCGTGTAAGTAACTACTTCCAGTAACTGCGTACCACCTGAAGCATTCAAAAATCATTTGTGCATGAAATTGAAAATCGAAAACTTCATCGTGAGCCAGAATGCAGTAAGCTGTGGCAAGTGTAGTTGTGGCGGCGAAGAAACAATAAAGCAAAGTGTAAGTGTAAGTACTCATACTTCGTATAAATGCGCCCTCAACATCAATTAAACTTAAGAATATTTCCAATACAAAGTTTTTGTGGAGTAGTGTGAAAACTCTATACAAAAGATATGGCAGAAAATTTGAGATGCCAACAACAACAACAACAGCAAATTCACATAGTAAATTTTACGTTACATAAAATTGGAAAATTTTTTTAGTGGAACACACCTACACTTTGTACAACCAACGCCAACGCTGCAGTTATGAAAATCGAGAATTTCTACGAAAAATTTATGGAAATATTCCTTGATTATATAATGCAAACAAAATAATTGTATTTTGCCAGAAGGACTAATAAATATGTAAATAGAATTGAGTTGGATAGTAGATATTTTGAAGTACGAGTATATTCGTTAGAGGTATGCATACCTTCAAACATGCATATGTTTATACAAAAATGCACACGAAATTATGTTCATACATATGTGCATACATGTATACTTACAGGAAACAATAAATTTTTCATTCAAGTATTTTCGCATCAGTGATTTTGGGTGCCTCAAGGCAGCTACTCTTAATAAAGTAGAGTCCATCGTTCCATTCACTCTACTACCGCTACCCGTACGAACAAGTAGAAGTGTTGCTGAGTTGAAGTTCTTGAACTTCTACGCCTCACCAGTTTTTACTCTGTCTGCAGACACTTACTAGTGATTCCTAATAATAGTGATTGACTTTTCCAAAAGCAAGTAAATATTTTTGAGAAATTTATTTCTGAAGAATAGCATCAAAATACAAAGGCAGTACTTTATTAGTATATATATT